TATATATACATATGTATATATATATATATATATATCTATATATTTGGTCTGTTAAAAGGTTCTGACAGGGGTTTAATTGGTTCTAACAGGGTTGGTACGACTTGCAAAAGCTTATTTGGGATCTTCATGGCCCGAAAATCAAAGTTCAAGCCCTATCTAACAAGGGACACCACTGTAAGTACATGTCAACGTGCTGCGGTACTTCCGGAAGTTGTATTGAGGCAACTCTTTCAGCCCAAAGCCGCTCATGCCCAAGCGCCATAATCCCAAAGGCACACAAATTGTGATAAATTCCTCGCAGATGTTTAGGGCTCTAAGTCTACTGATTGCAACAGCTTGAAGAGTAGGGATGATGCCAGGGCAGACCCCAAACAAGGAAAGATCAGCCGGGAGTCCTTGCCTACATATATTTACCTAAGACCACAGCAAGGAGTCCCGATGAATAGTGTGGCTCTGCCAGGATCTTAGCGACTTCATGCAGTCTGAAGGCCAAAGGAACACGGGATGATGTCGGGAGCCGACTTGATTCAACGCACACCCGAACTGCGCACAGCACCTTTTGCAGTCGGCACGCCTCGTCTACTCTTGCAGCCGGCTTCAGGACGCTATAGCCTTGCGACCCCAACAGGGGTTCACTCAACACGATGAAGGGCATGGTCTTGATCAAGACCATAGACCATACCCATAGGCCCCATAGTAGCTCCTTTTTGTTGCTTATATTTACGATCCTAATAGCTAATCCCCAAAAGGAACTACTATGGGGCCTATGGGTAGCTTTAAGCCCAAGGATGAAGTAGTCGTCGTCCGGCTTTGTCCAGTTGAGAGAGAGGCGGAGAGATAGAGCGAACATACCTATAGTCTCCATTGTAGTTCCTTTTTTTGGTTTAGCCGATTATATATTAAGGACTTTATAAGGTATCCCCAAAAAGGAACTACAATGGAGACTACAGGTATTACAATCGTAGAAATCGTAGACAGTAGCAATAATACCAATTGTAGTAGCTCATGTCCGAAAAAACTGAGGCTTTGGGTTGAGCACACCTCGGAGCCTTTCGACATTGTCCCGATGCTGGCAAAAGCCCCTATGAAGCCTGACAGAAGTCAGCTTCAGAGTTGCAGGGCTTAGGGTGGAGGGTATAGGGGCATCCAGTCTGGGTACTTGGAGGTTCATGGGTAGGTTTTTTTTGCGGGGTTTGAAGTCCCCTCACATGGGCTATGACTATAGTTACCCTGCTTACAACCCCCACTTAAAACTACCCCAGGACTTCTAATCCAAGTAGTTATGCACCCCCCCCAAACCCCCTAAACCCTTCTTTCAACACCCAACCCTCCCGCTCCCCTCCTATATATATATATATATATACATATAAATATACATATACACACGCACACCCTTCTAGGTCCGCTTCGACGTCGAAGCATTACTCAACCCCCGAGCTTAAAAACCCCCAGTCCGACGCATCTCAGGTTCCTGCAAGATCCTGCCCTAAGGGTTCCAAGGACCCAATAATCGGGTACTTTGGTTGCGGAGAGTAGCTATCTAGGTTAACGGTTGGGAGAGTATATGATTATCAGGTACTTGGGCACTTAGGGCTGTGTTCGTAGGTTTGTAACGATAAAACTAAGATTTTGCACGCTGGTCTCTAGTACTATGTACGGCTTTGGAGGTTTCAGGCAGCTCACGGCTGTCATTGTGGCGTTATAACCGGCTTTACATTAAAGGTCGGAGGGTCAAAAGGTGCCCCAACTAGATAGTATCCCACCACAAGATCACAAGACAGCCCTTGGTGAGAAAGCCCAAACCCCCAGGTACCTACTATGTAGGGCTCTAGGGGCTCTAGTACCCTATATAGGGGCTTCCGAAAATAGGGGACCCTAATATAGTACCCCAAATAGTAGAATCCCTATTATAAGGACCCCAAAAAAAGGTACCCCTAATTTTCGGAAACTCCCATATAATATGTACTTGGAGGCTTGGGGGAGGGTGAAAGAGTAACTGGTCGGTCTGCATTTTCAGCTCGGGGCTTGAGGCATTAAATCTTGCGCCACATTAGGGTTTTATAGGGTTTAAGGGTTTAGGGGTTTAGGGTTTAGGGTCCCATTAGGAAGGCACTCCCTGGCGATTCTGTAGGGAGGCATGCGAGGGAGGCTTCGAGGTTCAGGCGTGGCTAGTTTCCATTAAAAAAAATCTTATGAAGTCTGACAGGATTTCTGGCTGTGGGGTGTCGGCATTTCCCGATTTAGAGGTCTGGGTTTTTTTTTTTAGAGGGGATGTTTGCGGTATATAAACCAAAAGCCATGTATGCCCTGAGCCGCCAGCCTCAAGGAATGTACATTGGCTCGAGAGCCCTCCCCGTTTTTCCAAGGAGAGAAGAACTGAATGAGCCCCTGAACTGCTGCTCTGCTGCGACATTTATGGTTTAGGGTTTAGGGTTTAGGGTTTAGGGTTTGGGTAGTTCTCTAAGTTAAGGTACCTTTTGGGGTCCTTTTTATAACGGTGCCCCGTAGACCTAATTAAACAGGGACCCTAATTTAGAGAACTGACCACATGGGTTTAGGGCTTAGGGATGTAATGCTGGCCGTCATCAAGTCCGGTTTCAATAGGGTTTAGGGATGTGCCCAAATAGTATCTACAAGCTGCACCTGGAAAAGAAGAGGGTCCACGGACCCTCAGGGCGAGATACCCAAGGCCAAGGCCGGGGGAGGTGAAAGAGGCTAGGTGGCAAGGTCGGGATCATGTTTGCAGTTCAGGGTTAAGGGCACAGTTTCCACACCTTAGTTGAAGAGGTCTTGCTAGGACTGGGGTCCGCGCAGTGAGGGGATAGTTTATACTGTCTCTCGTCTGCTGTTCTTTGCCGCACTGCTCGGGTTCAAAAGCAGAGTGGAGGAGCCAACAGGTCGTCGAGATGTTGGAGATGATGATGCTTCACGCAAGCAAGCAACATGAATCACAGAAGGCGTGCTGTCTCGATCCCTCTTTCATCCTCACAGCATGATGACCTTACTGCCGCCAGCTGTAGAGTTCTGAGAATCAATACACAAGCACTTTAAACTTTAAACCCCCCAGCCCTTAACCCTTAACACAAAGCCCTAAACCCCTAAACCCTAAACCCCTGAACCCCGAACCCCTAAACCCCTAAGGCCCTAAAGCCAAACCTAGGCCTCAGCCAGTACGACTTGATAGGGGCCTGCGAGCGTCAAAGTGCCTTCTACTATCAGGTCGCCGTGCTTCTCGGCCGGGAGAACGGTTTAGGGTTTGGGGGTTTGGGGTTTGTGGTTTTAGGGTTTCGGCTTTACTGTAGGGGCCTAAATAATTACCACGACTATAATATATATATATATATATATTTGTTGTTTTGGGGGGGGAGGGGGGTGCTTATCATAGCTATAGTAGAATATACTCCAAAACCCTATTCTAATCATTAAGGCACCTATATTGCCTGATTTAGGGAAGTTAAGGGTTTAGATGGGTGTAGGTTCTCAGGGTTTGTAAGATGTATATTAGAGGACAGACTTTACGGCCACGGGCCTACCAGGCTTTGGGTTATAACATTGAGATGTAACTTAAGGGCTTAGGGTTCAGGATTTAGGGTGTAGGATTAGGGCTCCGCAGTAAAGCTGCTAGGGCTGCTTGCTCCAACTCCGGGCGAAGTGGAAAGCCTGTTGCAAAAAAGGATTTAGGGATTAGGGCGGTCAGGGTTTAGGGATTAGGGTTTAGGGTTTAGGGCTGATTGAACCCATCACCGAAGCTGCAAGGGGGATATGGGGTGATATGGGGCAACGGCAGCCCGTCCTGAAGACTACAGGGGGCTTCGGGGCCTTCCGAGGTTTTTGCCTTCGGGGCTTCGAGCTGTTTGGGGTTTGCATGGACTCTAGTATCCTGAGTGACCCCTAAATAAGAAGGGAACACTAAACCCTAAACCCGGTTATGCCGTGTGAGTATGGGAGCCATACAATAAACAGTGCCAGAGGATACTCAGGAACCGCATGGACCTGTGCCAGCAAAACTCTGAAAGGACCCATTTTAGCAGCGTCCATACAGTACGTACTCTCTCTCTCTCTCTATCTATATATATATATATATATATATATATACGTTAAGGGGTCCTATATAGGTATTTTCAGGCGTCAGTATATACGAAAAAGGTACTTAGAGCAGTGTGACAGAACCGCATGCTGGAAGCTTCGCGCGCCCGAAACCGCTCTTCCTGCCTCCCGTCATGCCAACGAAGCAGAAGCATCCAGCTGCACTTGTGTTTACCTGCAGCCTCTCTCTTGTTTATTTCGTTCTGAGATTGTATGCATGATTTCCAGCAATACTCTCTCGCTCCTTCTCCCTCAACAGAGTATGTACCTGTATATGTAATCTTAAGATAAACAAAATTTGCGGCGAAAAAGAGGCCTTATTTATAGAGCCATCTAAAAACACAAGCGCAGCGCTTGACGCCCATGGTATTCTAGCTCCACAGCTCCGGGGCAGAAAAGGCCGTAGGTTTAATATTATTAATATAGAGGCCTTAATAATTAACTTAACTAGATTATTGTAGGGGGTCCTCATTATGATTATAGTCTAACGGGCCCCAAACCCTATTCGAATTGTTAAGGCTCCTATATTAAGTCCCTAAAGCCCTCATGCTGCCCCATGCCGATTGTTCAGACTCGTCAATGACTTATCGTACTAGCCCAGGGCTAAGCCCAAAAGGCCCTAAACCCTAAGACAAATTCGATCAGTGGTGGTATCCTGGAACCCATGCCGACATACCGATTCCTAAAGGCAGACCCAAAACTAGGATTTAGGGGTGTGGAATTTGACCGACTTGAAATACAGAGATTCTAAACTTTTGAATTTGACCGACTTGAAATACAGAGATTCTAAACTTTTCTTGCACCAGATGGGTGTTGATAAGAGGAATCATCACGGTTGCTTGTGTACGTTGCTCCTATACACAGGCGTTTCGGATCCCTAAGGGTAAAAGGACAAAAGAAGAGAGACTACCAGGATGCCTCACTACCGCGATCGATATTTCCTAGAGCTGGCGGCGGAGAGGTATCTAGACGCTTGGCTTTGCGTTGGGTCTGGTCATTCGCAGGCTGGCCTTGGAGGGCCACATGCATACATATGCATAGATAGATAGATAGATAGATAGATAGATAGATAGATAGATATATACATACATACATACATATTTATATATTTATATTTATATGTGTACACATACACACATATTTATATATGTATATATACAGACATACACACAGGTACATATGTCGCGTCTAAGACGGAATTCGGGGAGTCTGTGACAAGACGCCAGTCAGTCCCTTCTTGCGCCCTACTCCGCGGGTGACAGCCAGTGAGGGGGAGCATGATTGCATTGGGTTCCCCGCTGGTCTCAGGACAAATTCTTAGAGTTGAAGAGACAGCGCCCAGATGAGTTCTGGGTGCCGACCTACGACATCGACTGCACCCCGGTGGTCCAGTAATCTGGTGAATGGCTGTGGTTTTGCAGACCTGATCGGGTTTGCTGCGCAGGATGTAGCATGTCTCGCTCAGACCGTGTTGTCCTGCAGCTGCAGCATGCCAGACTCCTATAAGGTGCGGTGCTGAAGCCCACACACGAAACCCTGCACCATAGACCAACCAAACTCAACGACATGCTTACATCTCCTCATTTTGTCGATCAAAACATAGGATAGGCGGCATGCACATCATCAACGCCTAGACGGTAGGCTGTTTTTTGCGTTGAAGTAGGCCTTCCGCGTCTGGCGATTGTTGTTCAACTCGTCCCCTTGCTCGAAGCTCCAAGAAGCTTGTGGCAGTGAGATCTCACAGAAGCACAACACATGCTGGTATTTGCAAGACAGCAAATAAGAAAGAGAAAGCGAGAGATAGAAATACAGGAAAGCAGACAGATAGAGAGAAGTGGAGAGAGGGAGAGAGAGCGTGCTGGAGTGAAGTAGAAACTATACTAAGTACATATAACTTTACATAGACAGAGACACGGACAGACTGACAGGCAGACAGGCAGACCCAATGTGACACGCAACACGGGGAACGTGACTTGAGCCTCCAAAGCCAGAGCCAGTTGGAAAAGAAGCCTGGATGAACCTCTATCAATGTGTAATACAGAAGCCTAAATATACTATAAAGCAGCCCAAAACCCCATTCTTATTAGTAAGGCCCCTACAGTAGGGTTCCTTGTCATAATTTTCCTATACTGTTAGAATATAGAAGCCTTGTGGTTACCTATATCAGTCTTTAGGTTCCTTGCCATGCCTGTACGCTAATATACCCCGAAACCCTATTTCCAATTACGGAGGCCCCTGTCTTAGGGCCGTCGAGGGGGTTGCAACCGCTAAGAAAGAGGCACAAGGTGTCGAGAAGTCCATCTTAGATGACATCACACAGTGCCACTTCATACCATGCGCTTAAGTACTGTAGGGGCCTCAATAATTACCAATACTATTTTTTTTTTTTGGGGGGGGGGCCTTATTAGAATTATAGTATAATTTTCCCCAAAATCCTAGTCTAATTATTAAGGCCCCTATATTACGCCCCCGGGCTGATTAGACTGAAATGCTGGAGACAATCAACCTGGGATCCCTGTGTTGGGAGCGCGAGCTCAGGAAATCGGCCAGGCGTGGCTCGCATAGGCCATCGTTGGATGTCAGACGTGTTACTACGTTAAGGACCAAGCTTGCTAATAGGCTATATGGGGTATTCCCTCTCATAAGACCTCGGAGCCTATTCGGCATTCGAATTTGATATGGCTGTAGTCAGAGGTGGCCATGAGGTCGCTGAATAGTGCCTGGCCCTACTTACCAAGTCCCTCCCCGACATACCTCGAACTGCGAGCCTTTCCCCCCCAACAGGCCTAAGCTTCATGCCCCACCACAAGAAGCTGGAGCACTAAGTGTATCCTAAACCCGAAGCCCTAATCCCTGATCCGGTCTAAACTACCCCAAGCTCTACACGCCAAAAGCCCCCAAGGCATTTGGCACGCGCATCAGCTACATCCTTGGAAATATGAAGAGGAGACTGCCGAACCCTAAACCCTAAACCCTAAACCCTACATCCCTGGAAATATGAAGAGGAGACTGCCGAGCTTTGCGGCCGGCTCCTCCCTCATGATGACAGCGCCTCTGATGGCAAGCCGTATAGTGGGGTTTAGGGTTCAGGGGTCTTTGTAGTAGCCCTTCTCATAACAGTTGCTTTTACCACTACAAACTGCTACGATGCAGCAACGACGAGTAAAGTACATTTTAGTACCATTAAACCCTAAACCCTAGTTCCGAGCACTGCGGCCACCACTATGGCGACGACGCGACCACTACGTGGCATACGATACTGGCCACTAGGCCCAAATGCAGGGCTTCGGGTTTAGGGGACCACTGGGCTCCAACTTAGACTAGAACTCCAAACCTGTTCAGGGTTTAAGGCCTTGTGGGGCTATCCGTCCGGTCGAGAGCTGACAAGGCCGTTGCAGAACCCTAACTCCCCAGGTACCTACTGTATAGGGTACTATAGAGCCCCTACAGGGCCCTATATAATGGGCACCTACACGGTTAGGGTAAGGGCCATTCGCCCTAAACCCTAAACCCTAAACCCTAAACCCTAAACCCCACCGCAAGTTTCATGCCCAGGTGTTAATGACCGCAGCTCGGGATCCCAGCTGTCCGATCGATGGGAGCAGACGAAGGAAGCGTGGAAGGTGCGCTGAGCTTTCTTTGGGCGTAGAAGCTGGTTTCATACACAGTAGAAGGTGGTTTCATACACAGTATCCTGTTAAACAGGTAGTGTGGAGGTGTTCAGTTTCGTAAGTAGTTTTTGTGTTGAAATTTTGGCACAGTCTGCACAAGGGCACGCAATGCATACATCAACGCCTTCATGTGTAGATCTTTATCCAAGAACCGACTTCGGTTCCGGATGCTTCAGTAGTCACTGTGCTTTGTCTTCGGTATGCAGGAGATCTTTCGTGACGACGGACCATACCGCAGCGGCAGCATGTACCGCGGCACCGTGACGGCGCAGGTGGGCTGTCCTCCTGGTAACTTCAGTGCGAAAATCTCACTTCAAGGCCAGTAACCCGAAACCCTAAATCGGAGAGGCAGTGGATTCGGGTTCCAATGCTCCTGACTGTTCCACTCCACTGCAAGAGTTTTGGTGTACGGGTTGAGGGCTAGGAATGCTGCCTGCTTGGTGTTCGAGGCACACCCAAGCCTGCAAGACTCATAAACCCCAATCCCAACCCTTTCAATCCTGTGCCATCTTGCATTTTCTAATCCTTAATACTTAAGCCTGGGCTTCCAGGGACCTCATTATTGGGTCCTTAAGGGGTCTAGGGCCCTATCTATAAGGTCCTTGGAAGCCCAGGGTAAACTTAAAGCTATAAGCTCCGTGCATCCCTAAAACTCTCCGGCGCTCCGCTGCCCCCTGCGCTGCTATGACTAAGACACTCCTGCAGAAAAGGGCTACCCCTTTTTGGATCCATGCGCTCATGCAGTGTTTATTGCGGCCCTGAACAACCTATGTAGGGACTACCTTAAGGCCGATATGCTGCATGGGTACAGGGACCGTTAGGGTAAGCTCCTAATCACAAGGAGCGATTGAGCCGCGAGCAGCAGTGGAACTACATGCGCTCCGTGATTGGTCCGGATGTGTACCTTGGCCGAATGACGAGGGGCTTTTAGAGACGCTTTATATAGATTCTGTAGATCGGCTCCAGAAGGTTCAGAGTTTGGCTAGTATGGTACTGTGTCTGGCTTACTATACCAGCATACCTTCTGAACCCTAAACCATGAACCCGAAAGGTTGTGGTCCCTAGAACTCTTCACTCTGAAGGAGAGTCGCAATGGACAGGCCCCGTATCAAACAACCCGCGTATTTTGCAAGCTTGAGTAAATTCCGTTATTATTCCTCACAGCTCCCTAATATATCTTATGCTACCTATCCCCAAACTGTAGTAGGTTCACCGCGGTGAGGTCACACTGACAGCAACTTCTAGATGCAACCCTTTACTAGTAGCTGAACTCAGCGATAGCGCAGACGTAGCAAAGTGCAGTCCAGGGCTCCTGCTCCCCAGAGACTCCAAAACCCCTTAATTAAGGACTATACCTTAAATCATATTAGGGCCCCCCCCTATTATAATTTAAGGTGTATTCCTTAATTAAGGGGTTTTGGGGTCTCTGGGTCCATCAACTGCTCAGGACAGTTGCCCCAGGATGTTGACTGAAGTTGTCTGGTTAAATTTTCATTTTCATCCCAAATAACCTGCCTGTTTCTGGGCCTACAGAAAGAAATCATAACTAGAATGGAGCCCTGAAGAGGTAGGTTTTCTAGTGTCCAGGATGTCCTCATGTCAGTGCTATAGCTCCGCTTGCGGCTAGCGGAGAGCCTCACGAGACGCACATCCTACCATGAGCATTGTTGTTATCACTCTTATTGCTATGGCTATCATTGAATTAGTCTGATGACTATTATAGCACCTTTATCATCGTTGTAATTGCATGGATGGTAATATTTGTCCCTCACCCCGATGACCCGAAGCCTAAAAGCCCCTTGTTGCCCACTTGTTTTTTAAGCCTCTGGGTGGAGGATTGAGAGCTTGTGGCCAAGAAGTTTTCGGATTTACCTTTTTCTGCCGAAAGGGTTTCGGGGCTATAGGGTTAAGGGGTTGTAGGGTTTAGGGTTTAGGGCCCCTATAAACTGTTTACTATCGGCTACACTTTGTAAATCCCAAACTTTACCTAAACCCTCTGCGCGCCCTCATCTCAGAAGTTGCAACCTGTAAACGCCACAGCATCCCACCCTGAATCCGAAAGCGCATGATGATGTAGGGGCCCGCATAATTCTTCGAACAGGTACAAGCCAGCAGTTTCCATCCCACGCCACAGTCCTTTCTGGAATAATTAGAACGGGGTTTGGGGCTCCTTTATAGTAGAATTATAATGAGGAGTTTTAAGGAATAATGGGCTCCATTGTAGTGCCTTTTTGGGGTTATCTTCTGGGGAACTACAATGGAGCCTATGGGTAGTCGCTGCAATGCTCTTCGAAGTACCAACCTGCCGTGCGGGTCGCAATGAAACCCTGAAGCCTTTGATCTGAACCCTAAAAACTCAACCCTAAACCCTAAACCCTAAACCCTAACCGTACTCAAAGACCTTAGCCCGAAAGAGCCTCGAAAAAATCCTGAGCCCCAGACCGCCGAAAAAAACCGAAAACCTAACCCTTTGGGAGCCCCAAGCCCGAGAGAGCCTTGGAAACCTAGAGCCACGGTTTAGGGTTTAGGGTTTACCGTAAACCCTAAACCCATCAACCCTAAACCCTAAACCGTGGCCCCCCGTCTGTCCAGAAATATCCGCGCCGACGTGGTCTGGAAGGTCGCGCTTGCGCCTGCGTGGGCTGAGCCTCAGAGGTCGTCTCTTGGGTTTTAGGGGGTTTAGGGTTTGGGATTTAGGGCCAGTGAATATATATATATATATACACCTATAGTATCCTTTGTAGTTCCTTTTTTCGGTTTAACCAATTATGTACTAAGGATTTTTATAAGGTATCCCCAGAAAGGAACTAAAATCCTCAGTATATGATTGGTTAAATCCACAAAGGGACTACAAAGGAACTATAGGTATAGGGCGTATAACAATGAGGGTTGAAAATAACTGGGTTTCGGGTTTAGGGCTTCTAGAGGTTGTTATAATTAGGGCTTACAGTGGCTTTACAATAGCTACAGTTTAGGGCGGTTTAGGGTTTAGAGCATATTGGGCTTGCGAGTATAGTAATAATAAGGGTTTACCTTGACTGGGGTTTAGGGTTGTTTAGGGCTCATAGGGTTTATCATAATTCGGGTTTACAAGAACGAGGGTTTAGGCTTGTAAAGGATTTATACGGTTTATAGACACTAGGGTTTACAACAGGGTTCTTCGAATTAAGGTTCACAATAACTATGGTTTAGGATTTATAGGAGTTAGGGTTTACAATAATTAGGGTTTAGAGCTGTGGGTTTTACCTGGACTCTGAAAGGCCTACCTTTTCAGGGACCTATGTAAGGAAATCAGAATAAGGTAGGGATTATGACAGGGCTTTGTGTTCAGAGGTTTAGTTTTTGGGTTAAGGATTTAAGGTGTGAGCGATTCGGGTTTACGAGCTTAGAGCGTTTAGGGCTTATACGGTTTTAGGGATTAGGGTTTCGAGATCTTCGCAAGAGCGTTCAGGATGATGGATTAGAGATGTGGTTTTAGGTGGTTGCTTTAGCTTTCGGAGCGCAGGCTTTGAGCATTTAAGGCTCGAGGCGTAGGGCTCAGGTTGTGAATTTCTGGCTCATTCGCATGACTTGTTTCTGGACATACGTACATCGAACTTCACGAGTGTTGACAGATGGCGAGCAGTTAGTTGTCAACAGTCAGCATCCTCTCGCAATTCTTGAAGACGAGCGAAGCCTCGTTCCCGACTCATCATCCGCTGGAATCCTGAAGCAACCCAGACCGAACAGTATAGCATAGGAAGAATGGGGTAGTATAGGATAGTACAGTCTAGGATAGTGACTTAGTGGAGTAGAGTGGCACGCAGCCTCGGCAGGACCGAGTTGAAGTGGGTCCACCGCAAAGATCTGGATGGCGAGGTCATGAGCCTAGTGGATGGATAATTTTGCCTTTTGCAGCTTTCTACAAGCTTTGTTGTCCCACCAGCGACATCCCAAGTCGAAGTCGGACGAGAGGGTGTAGGGCTGATTCCCCCTTATCGGCTCGCGATTCGGAGTTATCCTGCTTCGCAGACAACCTACGGTTTCAGTGGCAGAACTGTGCAGCTAGTTGATCTGCGAATTATTTGTGGCCTAGGAGGTGGAATTCTGGGCCCAGGAGTGTTTGATGCACGTGGCAAATCCTTAGTCCTTTGCGATTTGCGAAAGGAGTGTTCTGTTTCATGGAGTCATTCTGCGCAGTCTTCATGGTTCCAGGAATAGCCCCAGACACGCCCGAAATACATTGAAAGTCACTGAACCGAAGATGTTCTTAGGCCGCGTGGGCTGAATTACCACTTGGTTTCTCCGATTTCTGAAACAGATGATCATATCAATGCATACTTTCGCTCACAGCCTGGCTCTCCCTCTAGATTGAACCCTGCTGTTGTCGTTGAGCTTGCTGGCTGTTGCCACTCTCAATACATGGGGGTTTCCGAAAATAGGGGACCCTAATATAGTACCCTAAATAGTAGGATCCCTATTATAAGGACACCAAAATGAGGTAACCCCTTATTTTCGGAAACTCCCACATGTGTCCATGGAGAGCCCCATGCATTTATTGCTCTCAAGCCTTCAGCGCACGCATCCGAAGTTTCGAGATCGCTATGTCCTATGCCTCCAAAGCCCCATGCCGGATTTGTCGTTGGTTGTTTCTACAGCCCTAAACCCGAAACCGACCATAACGCCGACAACCTGTAGACTTTCGAGAGAATGCGGCCAGTTGTCGTGCATCCTCGCCTGGCAGTGGGAGGGTTTTAGGGTTGCGGCCTCTAGGGCTCCAAGGTTTAGGTCTGGGTTGGTCGCAACAAGTCACGCGTAGCAAAATTCAGCACTAAGCCTGTACCGCACATCACTTACTGAAGAAGGCCATAGCAGCAACTGGGACATGATCCCTCAATCCTGGAATTATCCTGAAACTCCCAGCCACCCTGGAGGTAAATGCTGTCGTGGGCATTCGACGCTTCTCCTCCTTAGGCACACTGAATGCGCAGGCGCAGAAGTTCCCCGTCTATAGGGTATCGGGGCTGAGAGCTGAGGGGTTTCCAGGGTCTAGCGACGGTTGTGTTATGTTTTCGTTGTCTTTGTGGTTTGGGCCTTCTCGCTTTACGTTGACGGAAAACTGCAGTCTGATGCAGGGCATAGGGTGGTTAGATGAGAGGCCGTTCCTGGTGATGCCCCCGGCCTTGAGAGCGGTTTCGGGGTCAGCGAACGAGAGGAGCAGAACATGAGCATGTCAACGCTTTCACCTAGGCAGTCCCAGCAACGCTCGGGATGCATTCGTCCCACTCTTGTTCATGGGCCCTTACCCGACAAGGCATGCGCTGCGCAGGATTAGTCCGACTCCCGTTCTCGAGTACTATAGGGGCCTAAATTATTACCAATACCATTTTGGGGGCTCCTTGTTAGTATAAGTTTTGTAAAATATACCCCCCCCCCAAAAAAAAAACATAAACTTATTGAACTTAGTCCGGCCCCTATATTACCAAAGCCACTCTGTGGGAGCTTCGGCCCTGGTTTATAGGTGAGGATAGTGGCTCCAACATAGCCGGAAGAAGCGGGAAATCGTAGCAAACGGTTTAGGGTTTAGGGTTTAGGGCATCACGCAAGCCTGTGCAAAAAAGGGTTTAGGGCATGAATCGAGAACTAAGCATCGCAATATAGGGGCCTAAAGATTGGGGGGGGGGGGGTTCCTTATTAGAGTTTTAGTAGAATATTCCCCAAAACCCTATTCTAAGTATTAGGGCCCCTAGGTTATACTCCATTATTACCCTACACTGACCAGTCAGTATCTTAAGATTAAGATGTAAACCCTGAGCCGTAAACCCTTGTTCACTTGCGTTCCGAAGTCCTTGGGACCTGTCTGCTTAGTACTCATTCATTCCTTATAGCGTTCGCTATATAAATGTAATTGCATAATCACCGGTCTCCTCTAAATAAGAAAGCCTAGACTCACCAAGACTTCAACCTAAAACTGCAAGACGGCGGGGGGTTATGAACCAACCTAGTAGAAAAGCCTGAACCAGCTCTAACACCAGTGTTTAGGGCTCCTTTTTATACATAATATACTATATAAACACCCCACAACCTTATTAATTCCCATTAGTATCACCCATACTACATCCGAAAAAACAGAGTCCTTAGCTCTGAACTCTTCCCTGAAGCCATGATGTTCTCGTGCTCTGCGAGGTGGTACACGGCCGAACCAGGCAGAAGAGCTTCAGCTATGTGGAGGCCACCGCCACTTGTTAGTATTCTAGATACACGGACTATATCACCGTGCCCCCTCCTGTATACTAGAGGCATTAACGGTCATGGGCTACAAACTCTGGTTGCAAAGTCCGGCCGGCCTGTGGGCGTTTGCAGCTCAGGGCTTGAACACTACATGCCCTTGCCGGAGTCAACACATTCATTTCCAATCTCTAAGCCCTAAGTTTAAGCCCTAAGCGCAAAACAAGTACAGCAGTTTGAAACTGCCAGTGAAGTAAAGTGCCAGGTCATGAAAGATCCTCACAAGCTGCTGCCAGTCGTTACAGCGCACTCCATCGACTCCGATCAACTTCCGGATGAGATGCAGGCGCAACCAAAAAACCTAAAGTCCTGAACCATGAAACCCCTAGGCCTCAGACCCCTAAAGGCCTAAGCCTGACGCCTAGCCCACACCCTCTTCCCTGGTTCAGGCTTGGAGTAGCGGTCTCATGTTCTGCAAGACCATCGAGGTTTGAAGAACTTGCAACAGTTAGCATTCCTGCTGGTGGCGTATATTTGCGGTACATACTACAACATGCCCCAAAGGCCTATTGAACTTAGATTAGGATTTTGTGTTCGAAAGGGGGGAGGGAGGACGATTAGGAGTTTTGCCTCCGAAGTCGAAACAAGCCAACGCCCTAAGCCCTTCGGGTTTTACTGTTTTGAGTTTCTGAGTTGACCACGATCCCTGCCAGCTTAGCTGGCTTAGGGTTCCTTTAAGAGGCACTGCATAGCAGACCGTAGATCTTTAAAACGCACTTACGGAAATCCTGTGATGCATACTCAACCCTTGTGGAACCATCGCAGGAAACCCCATGGAACCCCCACAATCTCTATGGAACCCGAAAGATGCGAGGGTAGGATGCCAAGGTAAGAGCACATGCGCTTTAGGGTTTGGGGTCCAGTATGTCGGGTTTGGGGCTCAGGGTTTAGAGTTTGGGTTTAGGGTCTAGGGTTTGAGATTCACATCCATATCTCAAGCCGCATTGAGCTCAATCGCACATGAAAAGGCACGACAGGTTACATCATCGGAAACTTCACGTATTCGGTGTGGGGCTTGTAGGTTTGTTCCGTAGTCAGAGACGATTCCATCTTGTGAGGTTAACCCAGAACCCTACCCCAACCCTATTTAGCCTAGCCGCCTAACCCTGGAAATCTCACAGCCATGCGCAGGTAAGCGCTGAGGCTGCGACGTGCCCCACATTGGAGAAGGCAGGCACAGAGTCCCGAACCTGCAAGACCCCGCGCAAACCGTCCTGAGCCGCCGGGCCCCGACCCTAAAACCCTAAAGCCCTAAACCCCAGACGACAAACCCCAAACCGCCAGTCAAGCGCTTGGGGCCCCCCTCCCCCCCCATGCCCAAAGCTCAACAGAGTACATAATATGACCTCAGTCTGACAAGATTGAAGTAGGGTTTAGGGTTTAGGGTTTAGGGTTTAGGGTAGCCCTTACTTCACGTTGGTTTGGGGGTTTGGTTCAGGGTTTGCCGCGCCGGCTAGTAGGAATTTGCTTGGTTCCAGATCAGATGTTGAGTGGACCAAGTCCACCACGGACAAGACGGTCCCTCAATAGTAAGCAGGAAAGGAGAGTTCAGGGCTGCGAAATTTGGGCTTACGGTTTTTGTATAGGATGGGAGTTTGCTTGTAGGGGTGGGGGCTCAGGAACCATTAACAGGGTTTCAGGGATTTAGGAATTGGGGTTCAGTGCTGAGACCTTGTGAACAATTTGTTTGAACTGGCTTACCCAGACCCCCAAAAGGATCTAAAAAATAGATCCCCTAATTAGGGACCCTAACTACTAAAGGGTACTTTATAGGAACCCTTTTAGGGGATCTATTTTTTAGATCCTTTTGGGGGTTTGGGTAGGGTTCAAGCTTTCGGATACAGTCGACAGGACTTTGGTGGTTCAGGGTTGAGCGACATGGGTGGAGAACAGTAAGGCCCTACCCCCTCCCCCCCCCCCCCACGCTTCACACCCCACTACTAATGGCGGTATCTTCTTGCTGACCACTTATTCCATAGATAAGCTTGCATATATATATATATATATCTCTCTCTCTCTCTCTTACCTTATCTATCTAAATCTATTTCTGTATCTACATAAATATATATGGAGAATAGAGGGCAACTCCATGGCAACGGAGGTACCTAGTAGATCGAAGCGAGAGGGCCGTGACAATATCACAAAACCCCCCAAGCTCCCTTGTCATAATTCTAGTATCATCTACACCAAAACCCTTTTCTAACTATTAAGGCCCATATGTTACCTAATCCCTATAAGCCCTCAGTCCTACAGCCGTGTATGAGTTCCTAGATGCCAGGCGTTAATTTAAGGAATCGGGGCTTAGCGTACACCTCGAACCCGCAACCCCAACCCAAACGACCCTCAAACTCAAACCCTAAACCCGAAACCGTAGACCCAAAACCCTATAACCCAAAACCCTAAACCCAACCCTAAGCCCTAAACCCTAGCCCCTCGAATCACACCAGCCGAAGCAACAGCCTCAATGTTGGGTGGGGGTTCAGGTTGGATCGCCGTACTGCTTCCCCCCCGCCCAGACATCACAGGCAGTGCCTGGGACGATTGGGGTGTAGTTGTGACCTTCACTGTGTTTCTTGAGTCGTGGCGTAGTCACTTACTCGGTTTTGCTGGGCTCTAGTAAGTAAACTCACGCGTTTCTTGCCTGTGGATGCACGAGTCATGGCAGTGGCGGGCAGCTTGGAGGCACTTCAGAGAGACCTCGTTCAAAAGGTTTAGGGGTTTAGGGTTCAGGGTTTACGGTGCAGGGTTTAGGGTTCAGGATTTAGAGTTTAGGGTGGCATCTTACAGCTTGGTAGTAGAGTATGTAACCTTTAAACCCATCTGGGGCAGGATGATCCTTGTATAATCCCCAAAGATTAACCCTTGGTTTTTCCGGGATACTGGATACTTGCGTAACTAGGCTTTGTTAGACCCTTGTCATGTCTTTGTTAGGGATCTTACTTGGAGGCCCAGGGGGCTTAGTAAGTGGGTTATAAGTAGAGTTATAAGTACCCTAAATGGAGTTACCCCAATTATAAGCCTACTTATAACCGACTTACTAAGTCCCCTGGGCCTCCAAGTAAGGGCCCTTATGATTGCAGGAGAAGGCGTATCTCATCCGAGTGGCCGGCGAAGATGTGGCGGTGCTGGTGGGTGCCTGGGCTTGGTACACTTATTGGCTGTAAACTCAACGTTTCAACTTTTGGGGTTCTTATAAGGTAGTCGGTTCTAAAAGTTTCAACTTTTATTTCCTTGGGTTTTGGGCCAGTGAGTTACAGGGACCCCGAACACCTGTTATAAGTTCTGGGACCGTGCAGTAGCTGGACGTTGCGAAGATACTCTCTTATCAAATCCAAGCAGTTGTTCAACCTCACAAACCCGAGCCCTAAGCCCTAAATCCCTCGTAGAACCCCTTGTGGAGCTTGATCCCGACAATCACCCCCAAAAACCGTAAACTGAAACCCGTTATGGAACCCTAAGCCCCCCACCACCCTTTTAGATTCCCTAAACCCTAAATCAGAAAAAAGGGTTCCCAGGCGAATGGGCGGGCTACCGAGTTGGAGGAGCTCCACGAGGTGGGCTGTTGTTGTGCTCCGCTTTTTTTCTATCCACAGGAGTCTATAGATTTTACGGGGTGTTTCTTTAAGTTGTTGGGTTTTGTTCGATCTTGTTTGATAGAAGCTGCTGAGGGGTGGTTTTAGTAGGTTTATGTCCTCAGGTGTTTTGGACGTTTTGCAAGGGGTCTTTGTAGGGTTCATGGGTTTGCTAGGTGTGCTTCGCTTCTGTAGGTTTCGATAATCGGGTGTGGAATGTGTTCTTGAAAGTGGTTTCACCATGGTTGTAGGAGGGTTGCGTAAGTGTCATCTACCAGGTACTTTGATAAAGCACCATCAGCAGAAGCATCATCATGGATTTTGGGCCCTGGAGCGCAGGATCCGTGAGTTTGAACGACATCTTCTATAATGACGATCATCGCAGCGCTTAGGTGATTGCTTCCTCAGCCAGCCGTCCCTCCTTAAAGTTAAATCACAAAGCGTGGACATGTCCTGCGGACTTGTGCCAGAAATGCGGCAATGTGGGTTTACCTTCTGTACCGTCGACACGACGTGTTCTCGCCCGAACCTCCAAACTTAGTAACACTACCGTGCAAACTTAAAGCACGCGGTTTGCACGCAAACCGCATTAGCCCTGCCCCAGTGTCCTGAATGCGAAAACCTCTCCAGCCCTAATCCAACAGATTCCCGCGCTGCGGTTTAGGTCCTAGGGTTTGTGTTTGTATGGCTATGCAAGTGCTTTTGTTCACGCATAAACATAAACATGTATACACATGTATCATGCGTGTATGTATATATATATATATGTATATGAACACACACACACCCCTCCCTTTCTCTCTCTCGCTCTCTCCCTCTCTCTCTCTATCCCTTTTCCTCGCTGTCGCTCTCTCCCTCTCTCACGCTCGCTCGCTCGCTCTCTCTCTCTCTCTCTGTTAAACGACACGAGCCCAATGTACCCTTGAATGTTCACGATGCTCTTTTGAATGCTACAATGCCGAATGGCTGGCGTGGTCGCAGAGATGAATGCTTGCCTGATTGTGTGTGACTGGGGGAAGTAATTGATCTTGGTTGCTCGGGATGGTCTAGATTGTTCCTGTCTTTTTTACACACTCTCTCTCTCTCTCTCTCTCTCGCTCGCGCGCACTCTCTCTCTCTCTTTCCAATGTCGGTCTTACCCAGAAATCGTGTGCGACACACACTTTTGTCATAGAGCCGGAATTTACCGTACATCCTCGAGCCGCAGGAGGCCTCAAGCCCGAGGCCCTGCACATATTCCGCAGGTTTCGCCCTGAAGTCATGAAAACCTCGGCTCTCAACACCTCTGCGGCTCTATAAACCTCGTAAAGCCTTCACATAACTCGTGTAGATTCCATGATTTCGCAGGAAAGCGCGGGAAGAAACCGGTGAAGGTGTCGTCAGCAGGTCGAACCTTGGCCGTGGAGTCTATTTGTAGAGGTACGAATACTAAGCCAATATTACTATTTTCAAATTCGCATGAGTATCATTATTCGCGTTATTGAACTGGACTTTGTAAGTGTATTGAGGGTTATATAGTACATGTGCATAACATGGGGTTTTAAATTGAGCGTTACAGCTTTTGGGGGGTTCGTTTAAGCGTCATGTTGACGGAGTCGTGCAATAATGTCCCGGCGTTGTAAGGATGTTTGTCGGTGTACTGGTCGGGCTTTGTAGAGACGAGACATCGAGAGTTGTGGGCTGAGTGTTTAAGCAGTTTAAGCATACAGGGGTGTAGGATTTCGAGGCCTACCTATAGTCTCCATTGTAGTTCCTTTTTGGGGTTACCTTATAGGATCCATAATATAAAAATGGTTAAACCAAAAGGAACTACAATGGGGACTATAGGTACCTAAACCGTAAACCCTTTAAGGTTTACTGTACGGAAGATGTTTCAGGAGTCTTCAGTGCGCATTCCAGACTCTCAGCTGTGGGCTCCCTCCCTGTCCTGCTTGATCTTTAGGGCTTACCTATAGTCTCCATTGTAGTTCCTTATTTTGGGTTTAACCAATTATATATTAAGGATTTTATAAGGTATCCCCAAAAAAGAACTACAATGGAGACTACAGGTATAGGGTTCGCAGGGTTTAGTGTAACCCTTCCCGAATTAGTAAGGACCCTGTATACCAAAATCCTTATTAGACCGTCATAAAAACTGCATAAGAACCCCCTGTAGAGTCCGACTCTTTCTTAAGGCCTCTAGCCTTGTAGCTGTTCCGGCTTACCATGAGAAGCGCGTTCACAAGATAGGTTATCCCAGAACCGGTCCCCGAACCCAGGCGTGCTTCTCTCACGTTAACAATAATTCAACCCCTTGAACAGAGGATATGGACTCTGTCGTCGATAACAAGCCTTATGGTATCCCCTACACCCATACAATATATGGGTAGTTGTCAAAATTATGGTCCCTTTTGGGGTACCCTAAATGTTAGGTGCCGTATTATAATAAGGACCCAAAAAGGGACCCTAATTTTGACAACCACCCAAATACCCCACCTAGTCTCTCCCTGTAGGCTTTATAGGTTTCCTTTCCTTTGCCGACCCGAGGACTCTTGGTTCGAATGTACGCGTTGAGGTGTTACGGAGAGATGGAGGCCCCAGCCGGCGAGGGTTTTAGAGGCGTTTTAATTCAGGGTCCGCTAGAAGGTTGCTAAGGGATAGCTACAAGGATTGCCTTAAGGCCTACTCTACGGGAAGTTGTGAGGGCTCCGCTGGGGACACGTCTTCCTCCGCGGTCGGAACTGCGGAGAGGTTGCCGAGTATCTTGCAGAGTGGAACTGCGAGGGTTCAAGATTTCATAGGGCGTCATCAGATGTTCAGGCATAAGTGAGCCTTGAAAGGAGGTTTTTCCTGGCTTTGTAATCCCAGGTAAGATATTGTTTATCCCAAATCCAGCACGGGAGCAGCGAACTTGGAGGCTGTGGGTTTAGCATTGCAGGTACGACTGTTGCCGAACGGGTCTGAGCTCAACCCGAAGCAGCAAAACCACATCACTGACAGAAGGGGCCAATACCGTAGAAGAAGGGTTACCACAAGGGATACTGTATACGGGATGCATCGGGATGCTATAATGTATATACTAGAAGGGCTACTGTATTGGATATACTATAAAGGTCACATAAAAAAAGGAACGCCATTTGTGTTCACCTCCCGGGCAGCGGCCAGAAGCCATCGAAATTCCCTAAAACCCGAAGCCCCAAACCTTAATTTGTCTCAAGCCCTGAAGACCTAGCAAGCCTTAAGAAGCCCTACCAGACTTAAATCAACCCTAGAAGCCCTGAGAAACCCCCAAGAAGCCCCAATAGACCCTAAGAATCCCGGAGAGACCCTGGAGGTGGATGCTCACCTCGCTGCAGAGACCCTTCCCTCCTCGTATTCCTTTTCCTTGATGGGGCTGAAGCTCCCTCGATGAGCCTCGAATGCTTTGGAAGCTACTACGGAAGGGTTTAGAAGGGGGTCTATACAAAGGCATCTATGAGGAATCTGGAAGGGCTTTGGGGGTTTAGGGCGTTTAGGGAGAAGGGGTATGTACTGTAAGGGATCTAAATAATTTTAGGATTTAGGGAAAGGGGTTAGTGGATGCTACACTGGGCCCTTTTCGATTTTCGATTTTCGGAATTTGGAGTTCTAGGGTTTTGGGGTTGGGTCGAGGAATAAGGGTGAACGTAAGATATAAGGGTTGCAGTCGACGTTACTAGCCCTGCTACTAGCAGGGTGAATACAAGGGCTGCCCATGCGGATTCTATACGTGCCCGCGCTGAGCTTTCTCGAGCCCTCCCCGCCCCATCCACTCCTCCCCACCCCGATGGTATCTGCTCCAGTTTGCGAGAGTTGGCCACCTCCCTCCCATCCTCAGTCAAAACGCCCTCGTCTCTTTTAGCCCCATGTGGAACATAAACCGTGTCACTCCACATTCGATGCCGCAGAAGATGTGCAACTGTGTGCAAGATGAAAGCCAAGCCGCTGAACAAGAGCCACTCAGAGATTAAAGCTGTGCCCTACAAAACACAATTCCACAGCCTCTCATGAACCCTCAAACCTACCGAATAAAACCCGACTGAACCCCAGGCCCTACCACCAAAATGCTGAACTACTAAACTCGAAACAGAACGACCCCATGTGCCTGTATAGCATACACGTAGCCATAGGGACTGCTTTAGGGCTTAAGTATATACTATACCTGGACCCCAAAGAACCTGCCATTTAGGGTTCCTGATTATGATTTCTTGGTGTAAGTCCTGAAAAAGGTAGGTTCTTGAGGGTCGAAGTATAGGTACATGGAGCCCTAGGGCTACTATACCCTTAAACCCTAAACTGAAGTTCCTAAAGGTACGGAGAAAATCCACATCGACCTCGCCGAGGGCAAAGTCTGGGGCTTCACCAACACCATCTCAATGGCTGTGCCTAGTCTTCAGGGATTAGGGTTTAGGGCCGAGGGGTTTGGGGTTTGAGGGTTGGGAGAGGACTGTTGTGGCGCATGAAGATAAGACTGATTTACTTCTTCTGCGCCCTGCATCGTTAGATAAACGGATCGTTGTGGCTGTTAGCACTACTTGGGTTCATACACGCCTCAACAGTCCTTCGTGTTAGGGTTTAGAGTTTGGGAATTAGGGTATCAATTCTTGAACAGATGGTGCAGTAGTTTACCTTCAAGGGATCTTCAGTCT